AAGTTGCATTTTTGCAATGATTAATTTTTCTTGCATGGGAATTAATTTTTTTTATACATGTCATGTTGCCTGAATTGTCATTTTAAAGTGTATAATAAAATATATTGTCATAACGATTTTTCATCCAGGAGTTCGATTACTAAACTTGGTGAAAATTTTTCAAAGTCTTACAAATATTTGAATCTTGCATATCTTTGAATTACAAATCTTTGAATTTTAAAATTGTGATTTTTTGAACTCAAATTGTGAATATTTGAGTTTCAACTTGCATTGCAAAGGGTTTGAATGTTGCAAATTGTGAATATTTGACGTTTTGAGATTTTGTTGTAAAGCCAAACTTGAACATATTGGATGTTTATGTCTTTGCATAATTTTTGTACATAAAAAGACAACTGTAGACATTTTATTTTATCTGAGATTATTCGGACTATTCTTGAGCCTCGAGTTAGTTTGAATTGGGCTTTAGACCCAACCTATTTGGATTTAGATTTAGCATTTGAGTTTTAGCTTAGATTATATTTTAGATTAGATTAGACCATTTGTAATTGTTTTGCTTCTATTAGTATTTTACAAAAAAATAAATAAAATGATTAAAAAAAGGGATAAATCAAATGATAAGGTTTTGTGTTTGAAATTTAGCACATTGGATTAAATTTTTGAAATTCCAATGCTTTTTTTTTTAACTCAAAATTCAAAATTTAAGAGATAGAATGCTTAATTTTTTTTTTTTTTGAATTGAAATCATATCTTCATCATGTTATTTAAACCCTCGTTCCAAAATAAAAAAAAAAAGACAGAGTGAAGAATACAAAGAAAAATATCAAGCAAAAACCTAAGGGAATTAGAGCGAAAAATATAAAAAAAAATCCAATAATAATTGGTAGCTCCATCACCATTTTCATTCTTTTCTCTACCATACAGCTGTCACTATCATAAGCACTATACAATTCTTAAATCTATCACAACACTGCCAAACAGTTCATCATTTAGCCACAGTTATCAAGCTTCATGGTTGTCTTTTCCAATCACATCCTTTAACAACCTTAATCCATAACCCACCTTATCCAATAATGAACACAGCACATTCAAACGAAGAGAAAATCATAGAAAAAAAATATAGTAGAAAACACAGGGATAAAGAAAGCCACTAGCCAAAAATCCATCATCACCAAACTGTTTAATCCTACCACCACTGAAATTGCTGTGACTTTTAGTCCAATCACCCACTACCAAAAATCAATCAGCTAATACCTAAAACCCAGAATACCCAAAACTCAATAAACAATCAAAATAAAAAAAAATCACAATCAACCTAAGAACAGTCATAATGAGTAGTAAAGAGGTTGTGGTGGCTATAACTCACATCAGTAGAGCGACAGTGATCAAAGAGTAGGGTTTCAAGTGTAGGATTTTGTTATGATTCAATCAAATAATAGGGTTTTAGGTTTCAAGTGCAAGATTTTGTTGTCTTACATGATGATCAAAGAGTAAAATGTTAAGTGTAGGATTCTTTATTGAAATTTTAAAACTGAAGAAAAGAAAAAGCAAAAAGCAAAAAAGAGGGTTGTAGTGGCGACCTACAGCAGTGACAGTGTCGGTGATGCACCAAAATCTAGAAAAATCCATCGATCTTTTTAAAGCTTGAGTTTCTTGTTTACTTTTGTAGAAAAAAAGAGATAGAAAGGAAATTGTAAAAGAAAATAAATAAGAAAATCTTAAAGGGTTAATGTTTTCCCAAATGCAGCATTTTAGATTACTAAAAAAATAGTCACTAGCTATTTCAGTATTGTGCCAAGCTAAGCCGAATTTCTAATTAAGTCGAGTCGATTAATTCTCCTAGGTATTTTTTTTTCTATTATTTTGCTCATTTATTTAATATTTATATATTTTTAAATGAAACAATATTAAAAACAAAAAAAAATAACTTCAATAATAAAAAAAATAAGATTTTAAGAAAAAGTTGAAAGTATCAATTTTTATTAGAAAATAAAATTTTTTTCAAAAAATGCATTTCACAAGAAACATTTTTAAAGAAAAGTTGAAAGTGTCAATTTTTCTTAAATAAAAAATAACAAAAAAGAAAGTTTTAAGGAAAAGTTGAAAGTATCAATTTTTCTTAAATAAAAAAAATAAAAAAGAGGGTTTTAAGTAAAAATTGAAAATATCAATTTTCCTTAGAAAATAAAAATTTTTTCAAAAATATATTCCAAAAGAAACGTTTTAAAGAAAAAGTTAAAAGTATCAATTTTCCTTAAATAAAAATCTTTCCAATTTCAAAAAATGCATTTGGGAAAAAAGTTAAAAGTATCAATTTTTTCTTAAATAAAGGCATTAATTTTTTTTAATATAAAATAAAAAAAATCTTAAAAAAAAGTTAAAGTATTAATTTTTTTCTTGAAATTTTTTTAAATGTTAAATAATTCAACGATGAAGCCTCTGTAAGAGAAACATTAATTTTTTTGTATATTCTTGAGGCGAGAGAATTCTTTTAATTTTTTGTCAAAAATATTAGAGTTAATTAAGAATAATTTTTAATAATTAATTATCTGAAAAGTTTTTTCAAAGGCTTAGTGGATAATACGAAATGAAACAGGTACTATATTTTGATTTGTGTTGTGAAGGTGCTATAACTTTCTTTATACATAACTATACTCCTAAACCTAGTTTTGGTTTCGTAGATATTGAATCTACCTTTTAAAAATAGCTGAATCAAACTTATGATTTCTCTTTTAAACAAGATAGATTCAGTTAAGTAATCAATCATACTTAAATAAAAAAGATTGATGACGACTCCTAAAATTTATGTCTAGCAATAAGTCACTAATCTATACGTTATAACAAATATAAACAAAAAATGACGTATTTTTATTTTTAAAAAATAACAATAGTATAGTATAGCTATTTAGATGTGTAATCATAATAAGGGAAAAACTTAAATGAAAGTTTTTAGGTGAAATTCTTGAAATTTTCTATTAAAAAATGATTAAATAAAAACTAGACTAAAATATCAAAAATCGATAGATTAAAAAAATCTCGTTATATAATTTAAGTATGCAAAATTTTAAAAAAAGTTTTATACATATTTTTAAATTAATATTTTTAATAAAAGTATTGACAGAATTTTTATATTTTTAGTAAAAATATTTTTAGTAAGTTCAAAACAAAGCCAAAGAATGAAGTTTTAAGTTTTTATTTCCTTTTCAACGACAATACCAAATATCAATTTTTGACACTTTCACTTTATATTATGAAAACTTTCTTTGACCAACATATTATCGTGTGATGATTAAAATAATTCTATATATATATATATTTATGTGTGTGTATATATGTATGTGTCATTTAAAAAAAATTAGTGAACTGACTTAGTCCAAATATTGTTATAAAAAGAGTTTTATGTGCGATTTAGTTTTTATTATATCATTTTTTTTAATTTGATACTTATAAAAAAATATTCACGATTAAATATCCAAATTTTATTTTCATTATTCAACTAATATCGATAGTAAGTGATGCAAAATGCTTAGCAGAAACAAAATTTGAATGCCTAGTTGTGTTTTTTATATATATATAAATATCAAATTCTTAAAAAGAGTATAATTAAAAGATCACGTTATATATTAACCCTAAACAATCTTTTTAAAAGAAGAAACATTTCCTTCAACATGATTTAGGGCCTGGCCCAAAACAAAATGACTTAGGTTGGGCCCTTGAAAATTAACCGACGAGGAATGTAGCTTATTAGTTCTCACAACATATTGCAAATTTCCTCATTCATTTTACCATCCGTGGATCTTCAGCAGATTTTTAACAATCGCAGATTACTATTACTTAAATTTACCCCTCGAAAATTTTTAATATAAGAACAATTGTTAATAAATGATGATTATATGAAAATTTTTACTACGACTCACATTTTATTTTTTAATTTTTTTAAAAATTTATATTTGATATATTATTAATATATAAATTTTATATATTATTTGTAAATCAGATAATGATAATTTATTAATGAAATAAATTAGATGATAATATTTTATTAATAAATTAAATTATTTTAATTTACGTATATTTATTGATTCATTAATAATATATAAAATTTATTTATTGATAATATATCAATCGATTATTTGTTATAATGCGTTCATTATAAAATCTATAATCTATGTAATTAGATTTTGATAGTATTTTTTTTTATTGTGGAGTTCATGATCATAGATTTCTTTTTTATTATATTTATGTTATGTTTTAAATAGTCAACTGTCTCAATGTAGCATTACTCGTAAATAACATTGTTAAGTATAATATTTATTTTCTTTGGGTTTTGTGTAAGGGTCAATTTGCTCTATCCTAATATAAAAAATATAAAAGAAGGAGGTATTTGATTATGTTACTGTAATTCTTATATTTTTATTTTTGAATTAAAATTACTAAATTAAAAATATTTTGATTTAAATGAATTATGAATTTAATTTTAATTAAGCATAAAAAATAAAAAAATTATATTTATATAAATAAATTATTATTCATAAAAAATATTTACTAATATGATACGCATATTATTTAAAATTTTAAAAAATATGAGTTTGAGAGGATTTATATGCATAATGATTTTGTAATATATATGATAATTTATATATTTATGTTATATATATATTTCATATTAAATAAAAATAAAATAAAAAAATTATATGTTATAATTCGTATTAATATATTAAATATAAAATATATTTTTTAATTTTTATTTAAATTATTTATAATTTTTATCAAAGTTTTAAATTATATAATTTTTATACATTTTCATGTCAAAAACACAAATTCTACAGTGAATTAAATATTAAAAAGAATGCAGAAAAAGTCGTTAACACCAAAAACAAAAATAGAAATAGGCTATTAATTTTTAATTTTTAATTTTTAAGGAAAGGTTATTAGCTTATTATTAGAAGAGCATGCGGATAAAGGAATAAAAAAAGGAAAAAAAAAAAAAAAAAGGGTATGGCTTGATTATTTATTTATTTATCTCAATTATTCCTACATATTCACCTCTTCTTCTTCTATTCACTCCGAAATTTTACACTTCCTCTCTCTCCCTTTCGCTTCTCATCCAACATTCCTACCCAAAATGAGAAACATCGGCAATTGTCCGACGCTCCTACTCCTCGGAGTTTTAATCTTCTGTTGTCTTTCCAATGTTAGATCCGACGCCTCCGATCACCGTTACAAAGACGGTGAAGCTGTCCCTCTCTACGCCAATAAGGTCGGCCCTTTCCACAACCCCAGGTAATCCTATCATTTCCCCTTCTTGTTTTCTAGATCTCAAGTTACTCATCTTTCGGATCCCGACTCAATGCTCTTATTTCCATTTCATAAGACCGCGTTTGGAACATTAAATCTCATTATATTTAACATTTTGTTTTGTTTATTCTCAAAATTAACATGTTTTAATTTGGTTTGTTTGATTCCAGTGAAACATATCGCTACTTTGATCTGCCTTTCTGTTCTCCAGGTTCTTTTTTGTTTTTAATTTTTTTTAAATTTACATCTTAGCCAATTTAATTTAGATTTAATAATATGTGTTGATTTTTTTTATGGAATTTAGATCATGTAAAGGAGAAGAAAGAAGCGTTAGGTGAGGTTTTGAATGGAGATCGACTCGTGAGTGCTCCTTATAAGCTGAATTTTAGAGAGGAAAAAGATTCTTCTGTTGTTTGTAAGAAGAAGCTTTCGAAAGATGAGGTTGCCTTTTTCCGAAGGGCTGTTGAAAAGGATTATTATTTCCAAATGTACTATGATGATTTGCCAATATGGGGTTTTATTGGAAAGGTTGATAAGGAAGGAAAAGCTGATCCGAGTGAGTACAAGTATTTCCTTTACAAGCATATTCAGTTCGATATTCTTTATAACAAGGATCGCGTTATTGAGATTAGTGCAAGGATGGATCTTCATTCGCTCTTGGACTTGACTGAGGATAAGGAAGTTGATGCTGAGTTTATGTATACCGTGAAATGGAAGGAAACTGATACTCCTTTCGAGAAGAGGATGGATAAGTACTCCATGTCTTCTTCTTTGCCCCATCATTTGGAGATTCACTGGTTTTCCATTATCAACTCTTGTGTGACGGTTCTCCTTTTGACCGGTTTCCTTGCAACCATTCTCATGCGGGTCTTGAAGAATGATTTCATTAAGTGAGATCTATTAAATCTATTTGTATATTTTTTCTCATGATGTTATTATTACTTTTTGGTCATTGGTTGCTTTAAACGTTTGATTTGTTATGAAAGGTATGGTCAAGATGAAGAAGCAGCTGATGACCAAGAAGAGACGGGATGGAAGTATATTCATGGAGATGTATTCCGGTTCCCAGAGTACAAATCTTTGTTTGCTGCTGCTCTTGGATCTGGAACACAGCTGTTTACTTTGTAAGGATCCCACTTATTCTGTATTTATGTTTCATTCAGATTTGTGAAACTACAGTTATTACATTGTGATCTATATGTCAATTATCGATTTTACTCTCTAATTTCTTTTGAACCTTTGTATGACTATCAGAACGGTTTTCATTTTTATGCTTGCATTGGTTGGTGTCTTTTATCCGTACAACCGAGGAGCTTTATTCACTGCCCTGGTGGTCATATATGCACTCACATCAGGAATTGCAGGATACGCAGCAACTTCTTTCTACTGTCAGCTTGAAGGAAAGAACTGGGTATGTGTAGATGTATTTTGTCTGCTAATATGAAATGTCAAAGTGATGCTTCTAAGAGTTAGGCCTCTAAGTGGGCTAATGTATTTATATAATTTCTTGGATTGACAGGTTAGGAATCTGTTATTAACTGGCTGCCTCTTCTGTGGGCCCTTGTTTCTCACATTCTGCTTCCTTAACACTGTCGCTATTGCATACAGTGCAACTGCTGCACTGCCTTTTGGAACTATTGTTGTAATAGTCCTCATATGGACACTAGTCACATCTCCATTGCTTGTTCTGGGTGGTATTGCTGGCAAAAATAGCAAGGCTGAGTTCCAAGCTCCTTGCCGCACCACAAAGTATCCTCGGGAGATTCCACCATTGCCTTGGTACAGGAGTGCCATTCCTCAGATGGCAATGGCTGGATTTCTTCCATTTAGTGCTATCTACATTGAGCTTTACTACATATTTGCCAGTGTCTGGGGCCACAGGATCTATACCATATACAGCATCTTGTTTATTGTCTTCATCATCCTTCTGATTGTCACTGCTTTTATAACTGTGGCTTTGACATATTTCCAACTTGCTGCTGAAGATCATGAATGGTGGTGGAGGTACATAAGTTCTTTAATCTCTCCATTGCTTCTTGCCTTGCTCTTTGAAAATATTATAAAATTTGAAATTTCATACTATATCTCAACTCTCCCCCTGCTGCTCTTCAAGTTTGTGGTTCATGACAAATAAATTCTCATCCCTTTTGATGAATATTGTATGGAATTTAAGAATTGTAAAGAGAAACTGGATATAGTTGGTGAGTTTATGTTTTCTGTAAAGGAAAATTGAATGCTCATTAGCAATTTGCTGAGAATTTCTCTGCTTGTGTTTATTTAGAATGAGTAAAAGGAATGAAAAGAAGTAAACCCCTTAATTGTATTATAGTTTTTTTATGGCACTGGTTTATCTGCAGGTTAGCTGATATGTATTTCTGCTAGATTAAAAGCATGTTTTCACTTGTTTTCGGTTTATATGTTTACTAAAATTAGCATGGATTTTGGTAATTAGACTTTTGGTAGCTTGGGGTTGGGTTCATTGGTTCTTCACCTTAGCATGTGCGGTTGTTTAATGTGTTTGTTTGATTACAACCTTTTGTTCAGTTGAAACTTAGTGGAGGATGTGGACTTTGTTATTGGTGATGACATTAAGTTTTATATTGTTTCATTTTACTGATCTAAGTCCTTCATTTGTTACAGGTCTTTCCTCTGTGGTGGATCAACTGGTCTCTTTATCTATGCCTACTGCTTGTATTATTACTATGCCCGATCAGATATGTCTGGTTTTATGCAAACCTCGTTCTTCTTTGGTTATATGGCCTGCATCTGCTATGGATTCTTCCTCATGCTTGGGGCAGTTGGTTTCCGTGCCTCGTTACTCTTTGTTCGACACATATACAGGTCTATAAAGTGCGAGTAACAGGTTTAGTTGTCCTTACCATTTCCATCAATTGTCATAGAAAATTCTATGATTTTTGTTAGATATTAGCTGGAAGAGGTGGCTTAATTGCCATCTAGCAAGTGAGGCATGCTTTGACTATACCTAAAGGGAGATCTGCGAGATCTGGCATGTCAGTGGCATAGGCATTGGAGAACTTTTAGGTGTCATGTGTTTATTAATATTTGGGTTGTATGTAACCATAAGACAGATTTGTGTAGGATGCTTTTATTTTTATACTTTTTACCAGGGCAAAGGATCTTTCTTGTCTCTTTACTTGATTATGTTGAAATCTAGTGTTCTTTTACCAAAAAGTTAACTACAAAAGATTGAGCCGTAAAATAATTATTTTTTTTCTGTTTCCATTATTATGCTGAGAATTACATTCATGGAGAATAATTTGGGGTCGGTTAATTTCAACTTGCCTCTTGGAAACAAGTGTTGTTTCTGGCAAGCTACTCCTAATCGACAAGCTACTACATTCAAAAATAAAGGTGGAAGTTGACATCAAAAGAAAATACAGTCATAGCAGCATGTGTTTAAGGAATTCTTTTGCATTGCTGGCCTGACTTAATAATAATAATAATCGGGAGGCCAAAACAACATTATTATTGTTGTTGGTTTTTTATAATTTTCAGAATAAGCAAGAATTTTCCTATTAATGATTATCAATCAATTAACAAATTAACTTCTTCACAGTAAGCCAATAAAGCCAAACTGATACCTCAAAATTTAGTTGAGTTGATTCTTGTAATAACATAAGTAAATTTAAATTTGAATTTCAGTATTTATAATTCTTCTTCTATCTTCGTACAACAACTTTATTTTGTAATAAATAAATAAAGCCACGCCAACCATGTGATATTTTAAGATATACTTTTATATATTCTAAATATCAAAAACACTTGTCCGTTTGCTCTCTCAATGTAAATCTTTCTTGAACCGTGAAAAATGAAAAGAACAGACCAACTCAGTTATTTCCGACAGCAAATGTTCATTCATTTTATTCATATATAAAGTGCATAATACATAAGAAAGATGAAACGGCAGTGCAGAATATGATTGAATTACAATTTACCATTTAGTATTCATTTAAAGTCTCAGCATCAAGCTCAAGCACTAAATCATGAGGACCCAAAATAGATTCAAATGTAATTCCCTTGCGTTGAGGAAGCTGACTTATCTTGTTGGACTCCTCTTCAGTTAAAGACCAATCAAAGATGTCGAGGTTCTGTTTCATTCTCTCCTTGTTGAAGCTTTTCGCTATGGTGCTCACCCCTTGCTCATATAGCCATCTTATGGAAATCTGCCAGACCAAGCATAGCAAGGGAATAAAAACAACAATTGACAGATTTCTTACTTGCGTTAAGCACATCAATGATCATAACTTTGCCATGTGATTTGTTTAATTGACATGGCAATTGTTAATGACACGTCAAATCTTAATTTCTCAATTTGTAATCGATGTGATACAATGAATTTTATGAAATGAACTAAAAATTAACTCAATTAGTTCATATTGTTATTTTTAAAAGGTAACATTTAATAAATCTAAAATTGAAATCCCAGCACATGCACCTGGGATCTCTTCCCATATTCCATTTTAAAATGCGCAATCTTTGTAAGAAAAAAAACAAGTTTACGAAATATATACTTTTTGCATAAGGGATTAAATTCTTATATGAAACCCACCTGAGCAGTGGTTTTTCCTTTAGCCTTTGCAATCTGTTCAAGCACATCACACTCCAAAATTCTGTTGTCTCCCCATTTAGTGTTGTTTGCTCCCAATGGTGAGAAAGCTGAGACATGGATATCCCTTGCCTTGCAAAACTCCCTCAATTTCTTCTGCTGCCAGAGAGGATTCATCTCCACCTGAAAAATAACGGAGCAGTGACCAATTAGAATTGAAATTCTCATATCTCATTTGACTGATTGTCACCGTCTCACTCACTTGATTAACAGCTGGGGGAATTTTGGCAGTAGAGAGGAGCTCCTCAAGCTTCTTACAAGAGAAATTGCTCACCCCAATGGCCTTTGTCAGGCCAAGGTTCTTGCATTCTTCCATTCCTTCCCAGACTGACTTGATATCTAGGGGAAATATATGTTCCCTTATAACAGGCATTTGACGTACCTCTTGGCTCAATTTCAATGGCCAATGTATAAGGTACAAATCAATGTAGTCCAACTGAAGATTCCTGAGACAATTAACAAGAAGACCAAATTTGTCCGACTTTGGTGGTCAGTTGGTACATCAGTGAAGGCAAAGAATGGCCAAAAAAATGAAGGCAAAGGATATCAATTGCAGAATTACTGACCTTTTTTCCTATAAGGACAAGGAAAGTAAATTTTCATCATCTAAGAAGTTATAAGAAGCAAAACCAAGATGGCTTAATAGTTTCGATTTTCATATTGATGTTTTGAGTGACGAGTGTGTTTTTTTTTTTTTTTGTTATCTGGGTTCAAATCCGTTGGGAGGTTATCAAAAATTCATTTTTCATGAATTTGTTTAATCTGGCATAGATAAGTCTACTTGAACCGACTTAGGAGGGGATGTAGTAGGTAAAGCTGAAAACCCTCAGGTCGCTTAATAAAAAAATCTATACCGAATTTACTAATTAAATGTCTTTAACATGGTGAGTTGGTGACAGTATGCCAAAGACACTTAATCCAGGCAGAGTGAAGCCATTAATGAAAACTGGGAAGTTCTTTGACTACTGTTGTGTGATCACACATTTCTTCTCCAAAGGCTAGGGGCTGCTAAGTTTAGCCTGTAGGCTGTAGCCCAGGTCTATATGCTCAATTCACGGTGGCTCTCACACATTTCAACACGTAGTCATTCAACTTCAACCTCCATGTTTAATGTTTGATTACAAACAGAAATAGAAATGCTAATTTCTAAGTCTTACATGGAAAATTGATGTTACCTGAGGCTCATCTTGATAGCAGGCAAGATAAGGTCCTTCTCAGCAAAGCTGCTCCATAACTTGGAAGTAATGAAGAGTTCATCTCTGGACTTTATCAGGCCAAGATGCAAGGCCTCGGCAATCGCTTCACCTAGGGGCTGCTCAGTCCGATATGCAAAGGCTGTGTCAAAGTGACGGTAGCCTGCTTTGATTGCTTCAATAATAGCAGCCTTTGTAGTTTCTGGAGCAACCGGAGGGCTTGATGAAGTTCCCATGCCGATAACCGGCATGGTCAAACCACAAGAGCTTAAAGTCACCCCTGGTACTACTATAGCCATTTCTCTCAGTTCCTTGTTCTCTGTATTTTAGAATATCCTTTCATATATACATATATGTTTATATATAGAGACTATAGTTGGTGTCAATTTTGATTGTTTCATTTCACACTTTGTTGGAAAAAAAAAAGAAACCAATGGTAGCGTTTAGTGTGGGGAGAGCCCTTGGGAAGTGCCTGTTGAGGCTGGCAGTCAGTCATATGATTGTGGGGGCAGCCCTGGTTGGAATTTGGATGCTTAATTCAATATATTGCATTATTAAACTATGATAAATTGCGTCCTGAGTGGGAACTTTTCAAGTTCTAACCTTCTAGATGGCTGAAAAATGTAGACCATCACTCATAATTTATGGGTTGACCATTGACTTTAATTAAATTAAATTATTTTGATATTTAAAATTGTAAAAAATTAAATTAGATTAAGTATATTAAAATTATTTATTCAACATTTCACTTCATTATTCAAAAAATGGAAAAAGAAATACGAAGAAATACTATATTACTAGAGCTAGTGAAAACTTGTATTTTAATAACTTAGAAATATTGAAAAAAAAAAAAACGAAATATTCCTTTTTTTTTTTTAATTTTAAATGAAATGAGATTCAAATGATCCGCTCAAAGTGACAAAAATATTGAGGTGCAAGAATCATGAAAACACTACTAAAAAAGTTGAATTTGATATTTTTCATGTTCATGATATATAGGAGAGATTAATAACTATAAATATAATAAACAATTACACACCAACAGCATCATTAATGAGTGTTAATTTTTTTTAAAAAAAAATTGAATGTCTAGGTTTTTTTTTTTTAATTTTTTACTTTTTAATTTTAAGGTGTCGACGAACACGTAAATTTATATTTGGATCCGACCCTTCTAAATCCCATTTACCTTAAATGATTGATTTAATTTCAAGGGCTTTCATGTGAATTAGGTTTAGGTATTATTGTCAACATTTTATGCTTGGGGTTGACTGGTGACTTCCTTATCTAACTTCTTAAGTTTTTCTAAACAATAATAGTATTTTTTTAATTAAAAAATCATAGTTTAAATATAAAAAATTAAATTAATAAAAAATTTTAAAATTTATCATTTTATTTAGATAATTTATATATTTTATTATATTTAAATAAATTCTCGAATTTTAATTTACACCTTAATAAGCTGTTAATTTTTAATTTATATTCAAATAAAATTTTAAGTTTTGATTTATATTTAAAAAACTTTTAAGATAAATATAAAATAAAGATTTATTTGAATATAAATTAAAAAAATAAGAATTTATTTAAATATAATAAAAGTACATAGATTTATTTTTAAAAAGTAAAATAATTCAAATTTTTTTTAATATTTTAACCAAATTAAAAAAAAATTGAAAGTATTATAATTTAAATTTTAAATATATTAAATATTATTTTTAAAAATATAATTAATTAAATCAATTCAACTATGTTTTCACACTTACATATTTAAACTCCAATTTTCAATTTGCCATGCCACCGCCGTCGTTTCATATTTTATTTCTGCCCTTTTTTTTTTTTTTTAAAGCCTTATCTAACATTAGAATTACTCTTGTACAGTATATTGTACTCATTCCGTCTTGATTTAATTGTTTTGTATTGACTTTTAAAGTTTAAAATTTTTTTTATTTTAATATATTTAATATTAAAATTAAAAATTTTTTAATAAACTTAAAGTTTCATAATTTTTAATGTTAAAAAACAAAAAAATAAAAAAATTAATTTTAAAATATAAAAAGAAAGAATTTTAAATATTTAAAAAAATATAATTTTGGAACATCTAAAAAAAATTAATAAATAAAATAAAAAATAAAATTTTTAATTTCACAAATAATAAATATATATGATTGTTACGTATATATTAAAAAAGTTTAATAATTATTTTTAAAATATATTTTAAATAAACACATATCAACTTTTTTAATTTAATTATTAAATTAAAAATATCATTATTAATATATTAATTAATCCGTAATATCATTGTTCGATCATCCTCTAATTTTCCGTCATTTTTTCTCAAGAGGATTTTATTTTTCATTCATTGGTTTCAACCTACAAAATTGTAGTTCTCATCAATTTCAAATTATATATGGCTTTGATTTCATCAATTGTAGTTTAATCTGGCTTTGATTTCATATGGATGCCCAAATTAGCTAGGGTTCTGTATTTTGATGTCTATGGCATTTAAATTTGATTGTCTTCACATTGGGATTTTTTTAATAAATAAACGACTCAAATAATAAAATTCGAAGTTGAAGATTCGAAATTCAAAGGTCAAGGTTTTATTTTAAAAATTAAATTAAAAAAATATGTAAATAAAGTCATATCATACAGCGTAAACTATAAAATGTATACACTCTTAGTTTATTAACACTGCAAAGACTATTTCAAAGCAGAATTCAAAGCTTTTTTTTTTTTTTTAATATGAAGAGAACATACTGTGTCATAGCGTATTTTAATTTTAATGATGAAATTGTTTTGGGCATCCATATGCAATGAAAATGTTTGGTGAATCCATGTGAAACCCAAGCTGATGTTTGAGATACGATATATTTTGGCCATCCATATGAAAGGTACGAGCGGGAAGCTTGAAGAAAGAATCAAGGGTTCAATTGAAAAAGATGGGCCTTACCGACTTCAATATCCTATTATGTCACCAACATGTGGCCGGAAAAAATATAGGCATGGAACGTTTCTTTTGTGGTGGGGTTGTGGGAGTCTTGGGCTTGTTACTTGTGTTGGGTTGGGTTAGAATCTGAACTGGTTTGAAACATGGGACTGACCCGGTTTGTTGATAAGGTGTTAATTTTTAAATTTTGATAGTTTTAAGATTTTGTTTATTTTACGGAAAATATTTTTTACATTTTAAAGTTTTTTCTAGTAAAAAATTAATTGGTCAATGAAAAATGACTTATTAATCAATAAAAAATTGAGATTATTTTTCTAAAAATTATCTTACAAATTAAAAAAAATTTTTTTTTTAAAAGAACTGTTTATGAGTATCACTATTTATTAATACTTTTGAGAATAATTTTATTAATAAATAATATTATATTAATAAATCATATATTAATAAATAATATAAAGAGTAATAAATAGTTTTATTTTAAGTATTATTATATTAATATAATATTTTAATATTAAATATTATTATTAAAATATAATTATTTTTTAATTTTAATAATTTTAACAATAAGTAATTTTTAATATTTTAATAACTATATTAATATTGTTTGACAAAAAACAGATTTTTCAAAAAATAACTAATGAAAAATATTTTTCATTAATTCATTCAAATAACAAAAATCTCTTTTAATTTAAGGTATATAAATATTTTTCAAAAATTATTTTTTGAAAGTCATTTTTTGCAAAACAAACAAAACGTTTTGATAGTTTTAAGCAAAAAAATAAAAATGTAATTAGTTAAAATACCTAAGATCTTGAATCCAAATACCTTGACAAAGTGGCAGTATTGTTGCCAGTTAAATTTCAACTAAATTTATTAATTTAAAACACGATATGAATTATAAAAAATATTAAAATAATATAATTTAAATTTTTAATAATAATTATATGAGTTTAATAAAATTAAAACAATTATATATCGATACAAATTATAACATATAATTTTCAGTGTAAAACATGATACAAATATTTAAATTTTAATATTTTATGACATAAATGCAAGTGGGCATCTATATAGTTATGCCTGAAAAAAGGATGGGTGGTGGGAATCTATATAAGATGATTATGATTTGCTTAAATTTTTTTTATTAGATTTTTAATATTAATAAAATGATGAACATAATAATTTTTTTATAAAAAAAAAATTTTAACTTTTTTTCCCTAGCTTTTCTGTCAAATTAGAGTATTTAAAAAATTGAGTTTACAATAAAAACCAAAGCTTATTTAATTTTCACCCTTTTTTTAAATTAAAAATTTATTCAAATAAAAAATAAAACTTTTGTTTTCTTTACATTCCTTTACCTTACTTTCTTTTACTTCCTCTCCCCTCAATCCAAACACGTAGACAAACGCCGTCGTGAGCCCCTGCCACCCCCCATGAATCGTTTGAATACGACCTTTTTTGGGTGTGTGTGTTTATTTTTCTGTCATTGCTCAGCGTCCTGATCTTTTCCAGCTCGATCATTGTACTCGTATATTTGCTCACAAAACATTCACTGCGCTCCAAACCAAGGCTATTTTTTCTAACAACAGAAGTATCAGTCTCCCTGAAAAAAAAAAAAAAAAACTGCCCTGAAACCTGGATCATGTAATGACATTATCCACTTATTTTCTTCTGATACAGGGAGTAGACATTGTTTGACACATAGGCTATGTCTATGATAATAGCTGAATAGCAAAGGAAATCTCTTCACTGTTCCCTCAAAAGAATATACAGAATTTAACATGTTTCCTGATCCTTCAGCTGCAAAGGAAGTTTTTATATCTGTTCAAACTTTCCACTGCAGATGCAAAGAAGAGTTTTTACCCTAGAATGCTTTCAATGCAACTGTATTCTCAACATATGCGTGCCGAAGAACTTAGATTTGTTTGAAATAATTGTCTCTTTTCAGGATATATATATATATATATATATTATTGGGAGAAATCCTCGGTGCAGTAATGTTGGCTGGAAATCCATATTTGAACCGGGCATTTACATCGAAGCCCGGCTCTTAAGTTCTTGGCAGATATACGGAGACAGAACAATGATAGGATAGATGGTTATTGATGAAGAACAAGGAAAACAAATGAGTGTTTTGAAAAATGTTAACACAGAGATATACTATGATCACTTTGTGAGGGTCCCAGATGGACCACAGACAGTGTACTTTTCTAGGAAAGCTTTCATGATAAGCAAGAAAGAACCTGGAATTCATGATCACTAGAAAAATGAACTTTAATCATAATCAACAGTTGTAAATTAATGTTTGTTATAACTTTAGCCATTCTTTTATGGTTCACATTTCAGCTCTTTACATTCAGCATCATGCTTTTTTCCTATGATGTCTTTCAACTTGTCTGGCTGGCTGTAACTTATAATTATGACACCATAGCAGGGCATGAACAATGCATATAAGCCCTGCACATGGATTCCTCTGTTTTCCATAATTAATTACTTAAAATATTAACTTAGCATGATGCAAAATAAAAGAGGAATCTTCCAGCTGGAAGGCTTTCTTGAAAAAAATGAAAGGAAGCTATTTGATATTCTGTCATTACAGCATGTACTTTGGCTTTGCTTGCAGGATTAGTGGATTGCCGTGTATCCCACGTGTGAAAATGACAAATTTTATAAAATAATTACGTTCAAAGTATATTATATAGATCAGTATGAATGGTGATTATAAAATAAATTTTCAGACTTAAACAAAGAAATCATCCCAACAACGTAAGGTTTCATCAACTTCATTTTCAATGACTAAAAATCAACAATGACAACTAAAATATGTCACTTAGACATCCTGTCTGTCACAGTGAAACAACGGTGATAATATTTTATTTGTCCAATGAAATTGTTTATCCTTTGAAGATTTATATTTAGATATATGATTGCATGTATATTTATTTATCAATTTTTTTAGGGGTGTTTAACATGAAAATTTACTACTTATATGATTAAGATTTAAGAGTTATTTTGATCTTGAATCAGATAAATTACGTGACTTAAAGTATATAAAAGATTTGTAATAAAATTTACTGTTACTAAGAATTAAATTTTGAAAATTTTAAATAAATAAAGTCATTTACTCATAAATTTGATATCTTTTATTAATTAAGGTGTTTATTCCGTTGGTTTAATTAATTTTAAATCGAATTACTTAAAATTAAAAGTTAAAATTTTTTAAAATTTATTTTTGATAATTTATTAAAATTAATTTGATGATCGATCGATTAATCAAATTAAATCAATTCAATCGATTTATTCAATTAAAATCAAATCATAAATAGCTCAACTCATAATTTTGGTAGAATTTCAATTTTGATAAATTACTAATGTTGTTAAGCCAATAAAATATTAAGTCAAATATGACGAGGCAATGTCATTGAAGTGAGAAAAGCAAACTACATATTTTCATTTCAACCTAGATTTCTCGATTGCACAGGAACATAGCAAAACTTGGCAATAACTAGTAAAAAATATTTTTTGAAATATTTTTTTAATGAGATTTATATAGGTGATTTGCACCAATGAAAGATGGTGTTGGGCTGTTCAATCAAAAAGACAAGCAAATGTCAGGAGAAGTGATTATTATTGCTAGTGTTCATTTGCTTGTATTCGCATTCATGTGAGTTAATTAACTCGTTTTATCATTTTATTTAATGAAAATTTTCATCATTTGGATCATTTTTAAAAATATTTTTATTTAAATTTTTTTAAAAATTAATCATCCATAATTTTTAAAAATTTTATTATTGAATTTATGATTATTTTTAAAAGATCTAAATTTTAACTTCATAATTTATTTTTATTATTTTATAAATTTCTCACTTTTGCTTTATTATTGCTTGAAAGTAAATGTGAATTATCATTATTGAAATATCCAAAATTTTTCATTATTGAGTTCAAATTTAGAAAAACTTTTCATATAAAATTTTTAAAAATCAGTCATTTATTATTTTTATGAATTTCATCTTTGATATAATTTTTATTTATTTTCAAAATTTTATCATCTTTAAAATAATAATTATTTTTTTCAAAATTTTATTACATTTTATTTTTGGCTAAAAAATGAATACCAATTATCATTATTGAATCTTTTTGTAGAATTTTCCATAATTTGAGTAAAATTTAATAAATAACTCATAGAATTTTCTTAAAAAATCTACTATTCGTGATTATTAAAAATTTCATTATTAAAATATTTTTATATATTTAAATTCAAAATTTATTACATTCTTTTAAATTAAAAAATTATTATTTATCATCTACTCTTAGATCTGTTATCCTATTAATTATTTGATTAAAAAGAATATTAAATATATAAAAAATTTTTAATTTGTAATCTTCAAGCATTAATTTCAATGACATATCAATTAATCTAAAATTTAGTCGATAAAATTATATTAATTCTTAAAATCATTTATCTCTAAACTCAAAAAATCTGAACTAATATATTATTTGTTATATTTCTAAACTAATTATAAACTTTGTTTCATGTTACCACGGAAAATGTGTTTAATTGCAATAATAAAATTTGTTCACAAACGCAATGTTAAAATGAGATAAAAGTTACAATTAAAAATGTTGGCAAATTTACTCTCAATCACAATAGAATATATGTAGGAATTGCAATTACGCATTATTTTATCCTAATTTTTAGATACGTGAAATCATTTTTTTGAATTATAAAAACAAGTTGATACTTAAGATTTGATACGAGAATCTATGTGCCAACTATATATGCATTAATTTTTAGTAGGTTTAAATATTTTTAAATGTGATGATGTAATATAAAAATAATAAAATTTTAATTTTTAATATTAATATATTAATATAAATTATGGTATAATAATTTTTATATTTTATACTTATTTATAACAAAATAAATATGATATAATATATAAATTATCGTTTTTAAAATAAAAAAGATAGGATAAGATTTTTATGGCTAGAAATATCTGGTCAAGAACGGCACAGGCATCATAGCCTTTCAGAATTTAGAACGAAAATGCGAAGGATTCAACAGTTGAACTCCACCGTTTCAGGTGAAAGCATCCCAAGTTTGCCTCTGGGTTCAACCGAGAGAGGCATTCCTCGTTTAGGCTTTGGAACAGCCGAATACCCTTTCGGTGCCTCCTTTGAAACCATGAAAGAAACCATTCTCGAAGCAATCAAACTAGGCTACCGTCACTTTGATACGGCTGCTCTTTACCAATCTGAGCAACCTTTAGGTGAAGCAATTTCGGATGCTCTTCGAGTAGGGTTAATCACATCGCGAGATGAGCTCTTTATCACTTCCAAGCTCTGGTGCAGCGATGCACACCGTGACTGTGTACTCCCAGCACTTCAAAAAACACTCAGGTATTGACACTCCCAAACAGCTTTTTTTTTTTTAATATAATACCATCAATTTTATGCACTAATTTTCTTGCATTAATTTGATGCATTTGAGATTTTATTTTTAAAATAATTTCACAAAAATTGAATTCTGATTGATAAGTTTAATCGAAGTTTTAATTTTTAAAATTTTTTTAATAATAAATAAAAGTAATGGAAAAACAAGAAATAAATAATAAAAATTAAATAATAAAAAAGCTTACATTTGATGTACTTTCGGAGTATATAAATTTTATACATCTTATTGAGTAAGATAACGTCTTATTCATATGGTATTATTTAATTTAATTTATTAATAATAAGATATTATTTGATTCATTAATAATATATAAAATTTATATATATCGATAGTATATTAAATATAAATTCATAATAAAAACATCAGTTTTAAATTTTTAAGGTATCTTAATATTAATTTTTGTAATAATAATTGGGAAATGTTGGTGAGTGTTGATATTTAAAAAAAAAAAATTTACAATTAATGCATTTATTTTTTATTGAATTTTGTGAAAGTAATGCATTAATATAAATTTTTTTAAAAATAATATTTTAACTAATCTTAACCGGAAACCGAACCAATAATATTTTCTTTCTTTCCGCAGGAATCTGAAGCTGGAGTACCTTGATCTGTATCTTGTTCACTGGCCAGTGAGCGTGACTTCAGGTGTATACGAGTTACCTGTTAACAAGAAGGACCTTGTTCCTATTGATCTAAAATCTGTATGGGAAGCAATGGAAGAGTGTCAAGAACTTGGCCTCACCAAATCAATAGGAGTAAGCAACTTCTCTTGCAAGAAACTCCAAACCATCCTTCCCACCGCCAAGATTCCACCTGTGGTGAACCAAGTGAGTTATCACTCTAATTTCCACTTATTAATGTTTTAATCAAAAGGAGGGAAACAAATCCGAAATTTAATTCAATTGATACGATTATCATTAACAAGTTATATCCAGCAGATTTGAGGTTTAAATCTCAACATTTTAAATATTTTCTCTTATCTCAAACAAGAGATTGTTATTATTAGCAACTCTAAATAAATGGATGATAAATGATGGATTTGTAATGATTGTATGGCATGGAAGGTGGAGATGAACCCACTGTGGCAGCAAGAGAAACTGAGAAAGTTTTGCGAGGAGAAGGGCATAGTTATCACAGCTTACTCGCCTTTGGGGGCAAAAGGAACGCTGTGGGGAACAAATGGGGTCATGGAATGTGATCTACTGAATGAAATGGCCCAAGCCAAGGGAAAATCGATTGCTCAGGTAATTTTTGTTTTTATTGACTGCTACCAATACGTCAATCACCATCATTTACATGTAATTTATGAATAATAACTAAAAATGTATTGCAAATAATGGGATAAAAAGTAACGGAGAGGAACTAGATGGAAACCCCCTTCCCCTAATGGAAACAAAAAGCAGACATGCATGAGAGTTTGCCTCAGTTTAAAAATGTCTAATAGGCGAATGTTTTGAAATGAACATGACCAGGTTTGTTTGAGATGGGCATACGAACAAGGGGTAAGTGTGCTTGTGAAGAGTTTCAACGAGGAAAGAATGAAAGAAAACCTTGACATATTTAATTGGAAGCTGAGCCCTGAAGAGTCACACCAAATAAGCCTACTTCCACAGCGCAAAGGATTTCCAGGTGATGAATTTGTATCAGGTGATGGTCCCTACAAGTCTCTTGAACAGCTTTGGGATGGAGAGATTTGAGTATCTTGGAGTGGAACTGAACGAAATGGATAATCAGATCCAATGTGAGACCTAAACTTTTTTTTTTTTTTTTATGTAACCAACTCGAGTCTTGCCTGAGAAATGAGTCTAGTGAAACTCACAGTTATTCAAGTTCCTGAGGCAACTTATCACGCTTACAATTTACAAAACTCGGAAATGGATCCTGTTGGTATTAATAAATGGGTTTTTCGCAACATTAACTCTCTTGACATGCCACTTGTTTGGACTTGAGTACAATATATCTAGAGTGAAATTTTGCCTACCATTTTCAGCTGGTATTTTCAACGTAGTGTTTCCCATCAGTATGCTCTAATAATTCGCATAAGCAAAAAAGAAGCAAAGAGTTGCAAAATTAGATACATCAAAATTCTTTAAAAACTGAGCAATAAATGTTACAAAATTAACAGTAATGAACTAAAAAACACCTTAGTTTCAAGCACTGTTGCTGCTTCCATTGGCTGATCCAGGCATCAGCTCTCTTAGCAAGGCCACCACCTGTAACATATTAGGCCTTTTAGAAGGGAAGTCGTCAAGGCACTGCAATGTTAACTACAAGTACCTCATCATCTCTTTAACTTCTTCTGCTTCTTTTTCATCAGTTCCTTGAGTCACCAACCGTATTTCTGGGTCTATCACCTCCATTTGTTTCTGTTCTCCCACCTTCATTTTTACCCACCCCACCAACTTGGTGTCCCCAAAATCCTCTTTATCGGTTGGACGCTTTCCAGTCAAGAGTTCCAGGAGGACAACTCCAAATGAATAGACATCACCCTTTGTAGTCCATCGGAAACTTTGGTAGTATTCTGGTGGCACATAGCCGGGTGTGCCTGCAAGTATGCTCACACTTAAATGAGTGTCAAGGACACTTATGAGCCTTGCCATCCCAAAATCTGAGATCCTTGCTTCCAATTCATGGTCTAATAACACATTGCTTGCCTTCATATCTCTATGTAAAATATGTGGAATGCAATTGTGGTGGAGGAAACAGAGTCCTTCGGCTGCACCCCTGGCAATCTTTTTCCTTTCCTCCCATGTTAGAATTCGTCGATCTCTTGCCTTTGCTCTTCCACGGAGCATTTCTTCAAGACTGCCGTTCTCCATGTACTCATACACAAGCAGCCTTTCCTCTCCGACCATGCAATAGCCCAATAGAGGTACAAGATTCCTGTGCTTTATCTTCCCTAAAGTTTCCATTTCAGCCATGAATTCTCTATCACCCTGGAAGCTCAATCGAATAAGCTTCTTGATTGCGACAGTTGAACCGTCCTTCAATGTGGCTTTGAAAACCTCTCCATACCCACCGCAGCCTATGAGGTTTGCTACTGAGAAGCATTTGTAGCCTCAATGAGTGAGGAAAACTTGAGTTTCCTTATCTGTCTTTGAAATGTTGCAACATTGATGCTCAGCGGTTCTTTCTCTTTGTCAATCTTCCAAGTGATGGCTGCATGAGCTGCTTTCAACCTATTAAGCATCTTGACTTCCTTTTCTTCCTTACGCCTTGCACGCGTAGCAATCAAAATGCATATAGATGAAATAGAAATAAGAATTCCAAGGATAATGCTATTAGCCCGTGAAATAGCAGCAGGTTTCCGACTTCCTTTGCCACCATCCAAATCAGAATTGGCAGCAGCTTGATTGTTTCCATTCCTACATTCAGGCAATGGAACTCCACAAAGTCCTAGATTGTTGGCATACTGGGTTGCTGGAAGTGTACTGAGCTGACCTCTTTGTGGAATTGGCCCTGTTAATTCATTATTGGACAAGTCAATCTGCACCAGGAAAGATAGGTTTGAAAATGATTCTGGGATTTGGCCCTGCAACCTGTTATGTGATGCATCAAATACACCTAAATTCCTGAGCTGGCCAAGTGAGGGAGGAATCTCTCCAGAGAGCTGGTTATGTGCTAATTCAAGAACTTGCAAAGCCACCATTTCCCCTATTTCTTCTGGGATTTTCCCACGAAGCTCATTGTAAGAAAGATCCAGATACTCCAATGTCTGGTAATGTGTGAAAAGACTCAACACTGCTCCATAATACATTCTCGTAAAATCACAACTTTTCAGGTTCGGGATCTGCAACAGTCTTTCAGGCCTGATTCCAGCAAACTCTAACAGTCCTCCAACTCCTTTACGGGAATTCCCCACACTCCTTACAAACACCAAAGTGTTGCCAGCAAGAATTCCACTCAACGATTTTGCCCCAAGCTGCCGGCCAAGTCTTGCTGGGATTTCTCCTGTGAGCTTGTTGCTGTTTAAATCTAACCAAACCAAGCTGGTGCAGTTTCCTAGTTCTCCTGGTATCTTACCACTCAAACTATTATTGGCAAGCTGCAGAACAGCTAATCTTGACAAAAAGCCAAATTCTCTTGGGATTGAACCGGTGAGTTCATTGCTTGTGAGAGATATCCATTCAAGATTACTGCAGTTGAATTACTCTACAGGAATCTCCCCACTAAGGCGATCGTTGTTAAGGATAAGATCTTTTAGGTTCCTGCATTTTCCCAATTCTTTTGGGATTCTTCCTTCCAAGTCATTGAACCATGCTATCAGCTGCTCAAGATTCTCAAGCGCCCCAAACTCTGTTGGAATTGAGCCATCGAGATAGTTTAAACTAAAATCAACTGTCCTCAGATGGCGACATAGTGACAGTTGAGGTGGGATTTGTCCTGCAATGAGATTGTCTGGAATCCTCAGCTTTTCAAGTACAGCAGCTCCCAGGCATATATCAAGTGGGATGATTCCAGAAAATTTATTGGAACTCAAATCCACAATTCTCAAGCGCTTACAATAGGAAATGGAAGAAGGAAAAGATCCAGAGATGATATTACTACTCAACAGCAATGCCTCTAACCCGCTAAGACTCTGAAGGGTAGAATCTGGAAAGGGACCCGTTATGTTGTTATTAGATAAATCAAGAAGTTGCAGATAAGAACAGGAAGAGAATGAAATGGGAACTGGGCCTAAAAAGTTGTTGTAAGAAAGCTTAAGTTCTAAAAGTGAGTCACAGGCATTTCCCAACTCAGAAGGAATCCAACCGGTGAGATGATTATGAGAAAGATCCAACCTTTGTAAGCTATTAAGCTCCCCAAAAGAGCTTGGGATCTCTCCGGTTAGAGAATTAAATGAAAAATTCAATGTTGCGAGTTTTGTGCAATTGGACAGATAGGTTGGAATTGAATCCGTAATACGGTTTACTGACAAATCAATAAGCAACAAGGAATTGCATGATTTCTCAATTTTCAAGTCTGAAATTGATCCTGTTATGTTGTTATAAGAGAGATCAAGAACCTGCAACTTATCAGGATTTGATAAAATAGTTTCAGGTAAAGGCCCTGTTAAGTTGTTATGGGATAAATTCACGTATTCCAAATTTGAATGCTTGGAGAAAATGTTATCAGGGACTAGACCAACAAGGCCAGAGTCAGACAATTCAAGGCGCTTCAATCCATGTGGAAGTAGAAGCAAAGTTGTTGAATTTACAGTAAACATATTTGCAGACAAACTCAAAATAGATAACATGTCTAGAGAAGCAAAAGGATTAAAAAAGATAGTCCCTGAAAGGTTACACTGAGTAAGATCAAGTTGAACGACTCTTCCTGAAGAGCATGAGACTCCATACCAGGCGCATGGATTCCTTTCAACCTTCCACCCTGACAAAGCTCCATTTGGGTCTTTTTCAATCATCTTCTTGAACGCAAGAAGGGCTACTGCATCGGTTTTGATCGATGGAACAACTACTTGTTCCGTCGCGGAGACTGAAACATACACTGTAAAGACAAGTGTTAGAGCCAGTTGATAGAAAAGCTGAAATGGCTTGTTCTCCATTGATGAAACAAGTTTTCAGGAACGAAGTTGAGAGAGAGAGAGAGGGGGGGGGGGAGTGGTAAATATGATGCCAAGGTGTTGATGCAAAGCATAAGAGAAGCCTTAGAAAAGGAAGTTGCTTTTATAATGCTATTTTTTTTATACAATGGGAAAAAAAGAAGGGAACATGGGAAAGGAATAAGAAAAGAAAGGGAATTCAGATAGAAACCGGTGCATGGTGGAATGTGAGATGTGCATTATACTAGTACGGTTGATGACAGTCATAGTTTTGAAGTACTAGAAATCGTAGAAAGACAGAATTTTACTATGAAAAGCATCTTTTTGACTTATAGTCAAAAGGAGTAGGACCCACAAACAAGCTCTATCTAAGATCGGCTTCATTTGGACTGTGGGTTGTTGATCCAAGAGTAACTGTCTCCTGCCAGAGGCGTGGGAGAATGTTTCCTTGTTTCATATTGGAGAATATATCAGATGAAGATACAGATCTCAGTCCCCTGTTTGTACCATTATGTTTTGATGCAATGCATCTGACATTTGTGCTTGTTCATTCCAATCCCTCTGCCACTTGCCTGAAAAACTGTATTCCATTTCCACAACAGATTTTGAACTGGGATAAACTCAATCTTTAGAGCAATGATCTGTTGTTTTTGTGAAACATCAGTCTGAGTATTTGATTGAAGTAACATAACTGACCTTTTTCCTTAGTTGTTTGACTCATTCCTTTTTCCTTTTTTATGCCACTTTCACTTCCAATTACATTCCAAATTATACTATTTATGGACTTTGCAGTAAAAAATTTTCACTTCTTTAGTTTAATTGTAGTTATGTTGGAAGTCATACTCATATTTAATTCTGTAGTTCGTTCACTCTAACTAAAAAAAAATTCTATACTTATTCACTTAAAACCACGAAAAGTTTCCAACTACTTAACAAACTCGAACAGCACTTGAAGCTTACGTTCTTGGAACTAATTCTCCAGTGGGTTCTATTTGGGGTGACAAAAATCAAAGTGACGAGCAGCATATTTGCTGTTACTACTGGATAAGCATAGATTCCCATTTGTCATGGGAAAATATTAGTAATACAAATTCAAAACTTCTAAAGCAATGGTAGTAGAGAGAGAGCACTAGGTTTTCTTTATGCTGTATTCAAAATGAATGAAGGAAGATCACATCTGGTGTTGGTCAGTTAGATAAATTTTGAAGGGGAATATGAATATGTTTTTAAGTTGCGTCAAGTATCTGCTAAATTTTTAATTTTAATAATTATAGATATTGTGTATATTTATATTATGCAAAATATTAATAATTCGTGTATTTATATAATATTTTATATAAAAATTAAGTGTTATTATGTCGATATAAAAATATAAAA